GCCCTCCTCTGCTAATGATGGCGAGAAAGTCCCGATGCGTTTGCTTTATTCCCTTCCAGGTGGTTGGTTTTGTTTTGCTTGCTTTGGTAAATATTTGGAAGTATAGCTGCTGCCTTTAGTTGAAAATCGCCCTTCTCAGTGATGGAAGCGGTGGAGAATAAACTCTTCTTGCAAAGCGTAGATGTGCTAGCTCTAAAGGAGGAAAAAACCACCCTGAAACGCCACCACTCCACACCCAGAAACCTTTTATCGTGAGATAGTGTTGAAATAAACCGGATGTGAAATTTGTTTCAGGAAGAACCCCTGAAGCACTACAGCTTTCAACTGCGTGCATTTGTTCTCTGTTAGTTCGCAGTTTGGGTACAGTTTCCCTTTGCTGTGCTTTTGCTACTTTTATTTTTTGAGGTAGAGTTTAAAAAATGCAATGCAGTCAGTAAACTAGAGACTGATTCTTCCTTCACTGTGAAGTGCTGTCATGCATAATGTGTGTTTAGTCAGTTCCTGTTGAGCTGCTGATAATTCAGTAGTGATCCAGTGACTTGGGTGAGAACATGAAAGCAGCGTTTCAAGGATGGCTGCTTTTTAAATTTGTGCTGAGATTGTTGCTTTGAAAAAATTGAGCCAATAGTGACACAACTTTTACTGATTTATTTTTTCCCCCCGTCTCTTCGCCTAATTGAATTTAGTCATAAAATACATATCGCAGTTCTGAGCTGGTTTTGTCAGTCTGTGTGCTTACAGTATTAGGGGTTACGGCCGTGATTACAGGACCTTTTTTCCCCATATTTGGTTCTATGAGGTGGCTGTAGTCAAACAGTTTGAATGATTAACATCACTAGGACTTTGGGGAGCAGTGACTATTAGGACAGCTATTAAGTTACGATTTCACACAGACGAGGAAAAAATACAGAAGATACAAGATTCAAAGCCTTCCTGTTTTGCAGTCAGGTTAGTTTAATTAATTAACCTCTTTCTTCTGGCTCCTGGTGTATTTTAAATACAGGTGTTAAAATTTTTGGTATTCTCAAGAATTGGTGAATGGGTCTTATTTCAGATAAAATCTCGACATAGGGTTTATGTCTTGAAACTGTGCGGTCAGTAACTACTGCTTTAGAGCTGTGGTGCAGTGTGGGAGATGAATGGTAAGAACCAGCCGTGGTAACATCATCCTGTGTGGTGGTGATTTTTCATTACCTGCACTGAATGCTGTTGTTTGTTAATCGTAATGATTTATAACCCAGGTCGTTTATTGTTACCAATTCTCTCTTTTCAATTTTGTTGTGTATACACTCAAATACTAAGTAATAATTTTATTTAATATATGGTATTAAAATATATGGTGCAACTCCTCCCGTCAGAAAGGAAAAGAGGGAGAATTTGCAAGAAACTATCTAAATGGGCATTTGGCTCCACCTTCAGAGATAAGAAGGAACAAATGTCCAGTCTTTGTTGACTAAGCAGCCCTGCCTGTCTTGGACAAGGATGAAGGCAGAATTTTTTTCCTCATGTAAATGAACTGCAAAGGATGCTTTCCTGGACCTGGTGCCTAGACCTGTGTGATCAGCAGCAAAAATCCGAGCATCAGTGGACAACCTGTGGTTACTGTTAGGTGTATGCTTTGCAGAACCCAGGCCTTAGTGCGTTATTTCTGCGTGCGGCATTTGGGGGGAGGTGTCCAAGTAAGTGGCAGCCCAAAGTTTTATTACTTTTCTTTACAGTTTATGATGGGTTATGCTATCTGTACATTACGTGGATGTGAGACTGGCTAGGTCTGTGTAGAGGGGCTGTGGTAGAATGGCAGTAATGTCTTTTTTTCCTTCTTTTGTTACTCCTTTAAAGCATGGTTTTCTTCTTGTGATTTCATGGGAGAGTTTGTTTTGTTTTCCCAAGCCACATGCTTTAATTGTTGTTTTGTTTTGGTTTTTTCCTCTTGTATATTAAGAAATAATTCTGTGTCAATCTTCATTTTTCTTTGTAGGTTCTGCCCAGTTGCTATTTAATGCGACAGATGTTGTTGAAAGAACTGTCTGTAATCAAACTGTCGTTTTACCTTGCAATGTGATTAATCTAAAGGAGAACAGTACAAAAGTCATGTTTGTTACGTGGAAAAAACAAGGAAAAATAATTTTTTCTTTTGATGGAGCAAAACAGGATTTTTTCAGAGACCCAGCGTTTTCATCAGCTAACTTAGTATCTCAGGCGGATTTACCCAAGGGTATTGCCTCTCTAATGCTGAACACTTCAGAAGCAGAAGTTGGAAATTACAGCTGTGAAGTGACAGAATCAAACAGAGAAGGAGAAACAAAAGTTGAACTTAGAGACCACTCAGGTGAGTTGCCTCCTGCCACTGTTAGAGAAGCTGTTGGGCGAGGAAACAGGCAAAATCTTACAGGAAAGAGAAAGATAATGAATGTGATGTTGTATTACTTTAAAGTGAAAGTGCAAAGAAGGAAACACCCAGGCCTTCTAACTTGAATGCAAATATGAGTTATTTTGGATAAAGTTATAAGGGAATGCTTCCGTGGGAAAGATCTGAACACATTTTTTTGTTGTATAATAACATCTGAAGATCACTTGTCTAACACAGTAAAATCTATGCCTTCCCATCTCTTTTGGAGTTGGTGATATTTTCAGCACCCTCATGTTAATGCATGACGTACCAAAAGAGATTCCTAGTATCTTTGTAGCACTGAGGTGTATACACCCATCACAGTGACTGCAGAGATCTTTTTTTGAAGGATTGCATCTTGCAATCTTTAGCTATTCTGGGAAAACTACAGGTAGAACTAATAGAAATTCTGTGTAAGAGCTCTGAAACTTGATCTAAGAGCATGCAGTCCTCCCATGAGTTTGAAAATGCTGCTCCTAGATGGTAGCGTGTTACGGGTGTCTAGCCTTAAATGTCGTCTTCAGAAGAGAATTTTTAAGAGAACGGTGACTAAGTGATGAGTTTCTCACTCCGTGAGCCGTTTACTCGTGTCTTGTGAGAGGCGGCTCGCGTGCGCGTCAGCTGGTGAACAGCGGAGTCTGCCGTACACGTGCAGTCTGCCCAGGGTTCTGCGGAGGGGACAGGTCGCTGGGCAGATGCGTGTGGTGCTCTCCCTTCTGCGCAGGAGACTTGCTCCTTGCTTCTGGAAAGTTCCTCAGAAGCACAGAGTATGTTACATACGTGTAGCCAACAGTCTTGCCCAGGCACTGTAGAATTATCCTGGGGTGTTTTTGCTATTCGTTTTTGCATTTGTCATTAAAATGCTCGGGCAGATGTTACTTGTGTCCTGCTGCAAACATCTGTGTAGTTCGCAGTTGGGTCTGATGATTGGGTTGACCATACACATTGCAAAACAGATGTGATCCTGCAGTGGATTGAGAGGGGCATAGCCGCTGAAAGTGCCCATGTTACGGAATCATTCCGGTTTTGGAACACTGCAAAAACAGGAAGAGCTATATGGGCAGTTTCCTTCCTTTTCTTGCAGCTTCTTCCTTACTCAATCGTTTTGGACTGTTGTAGCCATTCAGTGTTAAGCTCTAGAAGAGGAAACAAGGCTTGAGGGCGTAGTATAAGCAAGTCCCATTTGCAAATGTTACTGTTTTCTCTTTTTGTTTTTTGTATGTTTAGAATTTTAAAAACGATATAAAAACTACAAAGCAGGAAACTGATGTAATTTTTCTAATTTCATTTTCTAGTTGTCAGGTGCGGCGAGGAAATTACCCCAGCACCAGAGGATAAATGTGGTTAGTGAAGAATTTATAGCTGCGAGGTCACCTTAGGTTTGAGAGTATATGATAGAAAAATGTTAAAACTCAGTCTTACGTTTGAGGGTTTAGCTGGAGGTAAAACAGTCGCTTGTTCTCTCTCTTAAGTTCTTCCACATCGATTTTGTTTGTTTCTCGGTGTTCTGTAGAGACTCTTCACAAAAACATAGCAAGTGTTTTGAAAACGGTTAGTGAATAATGGAAATCCTCCACCTGTCTTCCCTCTGTCCTTTCTGAGCAATGAATTCATGCTGTCACGATCACTGTGTTCCAGTAGACGCTTTCACAGAGATACTCTTACACGAGCCCACTCTGTCTCACTTCTCGTGGTTCCTGGCCTCACGTAGGAAGTGGGTGGTAGAGTGAGAAAGACTTACATGCTACTGCCCTTTTCTTTGTGCACTCTTGATCAGTTATCTTCACAGGAGAGTGACCATAAAGCTTTCTTTCTCTTCTCTTTCCCCTCCTTCTCTCTTCTCTTTTCCTCCCTTCCCTCATCCGTTTCCTTTTTCTCTCCCCTCCCCCCTGCCACGTCTTGTTAGTTTGGAACTGACTTCCTTATACTGTCTTCCAAAATAATACTTCTCACTGGGAGTTTATTGCTGTGAAGCACCAGAGGAAGGGAGATGTACTACCAGGAAAATGTGTTCAGCCGTTTCTTACTCGCACGTTGCGTGTGCCGGCAGTACCGCAGGCAGTCCCGTACAGCAAGTGCTCTTGGCCTGACACTGGACCGTAAGCGGTTCCCTGTTGCATGCTGAAGTCCTAGCAGATACCAGGCTTCGTGGCTGCTTGCTTTTTATTTTTTCTATTTGTAATACCTGGTAGTGTCACCTGGAAATGCTGCAGAGGAAGTGAAGCTGCTTTTCAGTCTCTGCTTGCAGCTACATTCAGTTCCTTAGCAATTCCCGGCTACATTGAGCACCGTCGCAGGGATGTGCCCGTGCGATTTGGCTGTTCTAGAGAATGGCAGCTGTGCACTGAAGTTACTCTTCCATATTCCTCGCTTTTTTCTGAAAATGCAAGTGAAGCAAAAATCCTTCCTTTAAACAGTTAATTCAATTAGGCTTCTTTTGGCGATAAGGAACTGATATTTCTCCATTTCTCTGCCTTTAGTATATTCTGTGATTGCCTTGTCTTTATATTCCAACCACAGTATCTTCTTCTGTGACCCCGTGCAGGGGGAGAGGTAAGAGGGGAATTTGTGAATTTAAAACTGTCTTCAATGTATTTACTTGATATTGAGGGTTGTGACCCATTGCTGCTTAATTCCATGTTTCTGGAGCTGCAGATCCAGTTTTTAAATGTGGAGTGTAAGTACAAGGAGTGTGCATCTCAGTGAAGATTAGAAATTGCTTTGGAAGCAAGCATGCAGGCAGAGCAACGGTGGCGAGTATAATGTAAGAAATGGAGACTTTAGACTCCACCGAGTGAGTCTAAATGAAGTTATGGGCAGATATGCAAGAATCAACTGCATTTTCTAGTTCAGTGGAGATGTTTTCAGAATTTTGTGTTGGAAGGTGGCTTACACGGTCTTCCTGCACGAGTGACTGAACAGCCTAAGGTAGAATAAAACAGCTCAAGAAACAGCAAATTGGACTTTTCATATCTTGCCCAGCTACCCTGCTTAGCCTAAATACACCATTTTTCCAATCTACTGTGCTGTTTGTAGTTCCGCAAGCGAACTGGCTGGTACTGCCAGACAACAGCATGCATGTATCCTCTGCTGCAGAGGAGGTTAAGATCTCCAGCTTGGAAAATGTTAGGGTAGCTAGAAATACTGAAAGTAGACTGGCACACGCAAGAGCAGAGTGAAAAACATGTAGGCAGAAGTCACAGCTTTCTTAGCCTATTGTAACTCTTTAATGCTAACTATTACATACATTATTAAGCAAGCTAGAGCATAAGCTAAAAGGAGCAGTAAATGTAAAGCTAATAACCTCAGGTTTTGTTTTCTTCCTACCATTTTTCTTTGTTTATTCTCTAGGCTCATGGTTCATGCTCGTGGATACGGCTATCATCGTAGCGTTGCTGTTCTTAGTTACTATTTTGTGTTTGGTTCAGTTGTGTTTTATTGGTAAGTATTGACTCTTTCTTTCTTTGTGATTATTGGTTTGTCCTAAAATCACTTGCTTGCATAAAGGCAATGTGTAAGATGAAAGACTGTGCTTACATCTTTTAGATGTCCAGTAGAATTGGTCAAGGTAATAATACACAGAGAGGTGGTATGTCTGCTTTGTCACATAACATGGTGTTTGGTTTGCTCTGGAATCCTCTCCTGATTACCCACACTCTTACATATGTTCCTTTCTGGACTGTTTTGGCATCAATCAGCTAACACCACAACAGAGAACTCCTACACTGTTCTCAGTATAGTTTCCAATGAGCACTACTACCTACAGGCTTGGTCAGTAAGAGCACACCAGGCTCCATAGTCTTCCCTTTCAGCAAGCCTTGCGCTCTTTCAGGACACGCAACGTACATTTTTGTCGTCAAGCTAGGAAAAGGCTAGTCTGGCGTAGGATTTGCAGAGTTTGGATCCTTTGAACTGAAAAATACCCATGACCTTATGAAAAAGGGATGTGGTTTAAGGGCTTGAGTGTGGTGCCCCAGACGTGCAGTGTGGATGCAGGCCCAGTGTTTAAGGAGTCTGGCCTCAAGTCGGCTCTGGTTGCTTGGAGGCCAGGGGTTGCTTCCTGGGGTTAAGATTTTTAGCAGCTGTATGTCTTTGTAGGCAAAGGTCTGTGTTTAGAGCTCCTCTGCCACGTGGTGGTGTTTCTGCTGCCAGTAGTGCTGCAAGCAATGAGCTTTTTTTTTCTGCACGTGTGTGATTTTTGTGGGGTCTAATGGATAAGGCCTGCTGTCATTGGTTAGAACAAGGAAACTTTTCTTCACTGTTGGTTGACCATGACATTATTGAATCATTAGAAACAGAAACATGTTTCACTTTGTGGCCATAAAATCAATATTGGAGAAGAATGGTGCTCTCTTCTTACTAAATTTGTTCGTTGGTCTTAGCACTGGCTGAGGTGTAATTTAACACTGACATTATGATTTTAAGTGTTTTTAGAGGCAACACATTCGCCAGTGCCAGATATCCTTAAATGTTCTTTCTACACCGGAGTCCCATATTTATGCAGTGTAGAGTGTGCTTTATGTCCTAGTCTTGTAGATGGTTCCCTGTGGTGCAGTTTTTTACCTCAGTCTTTGGGTTTTTTTTCAGCCTTTCACCCTGTTTAGGGCAATATTCCTAATCATAAAATGTGTACTTTAGAGAATCTGTATGTCTGATTGTTTTCCTCTCTGTCTCTTTGTTTTGTCTTTAAGCATTAAAATATGAAATCGTATCTCAGAAGAAAATGGGCATTATTGCAGCAGGTGTCATCTTCACAATTGCTGCTGTTGTAGGCACTGTTCTTTTTGTCCAAGGTACGTATATTAAGATTGCCTTCTTAGTTTAAGGGCTTAAGACCATAAATGAATCTCTTACGTTCAGTAGTGTGGAAGTAAGTTAGTACTTACTATTAATTGCAAATTACTAATTTTAAAATGGAAAAGAAATTAATATAGAATAAACAGAAACACACTGTGGTTATCAGGTGCTCAGGTGATCATAGGGAGATACAGACTTCAAATATATTTGTTTTCTATCCTGCAACATGGGGTGAATATTAGGGGCTAGGAGTGACTTCTGGTGCTTCAGTGGGATTTTTTCTGGACTGTAAAAACTTGATGATACCAATGATCTACTTTCTTTGCTTTGTGCTTTATGCCGATCAAGGATTTCTGTTTTACTAATTTCCATACGTATGTTTGCAGAGGGCTATACTGCACAGAATCAGGCTGGTCTTGGCCTAATTGTAGTCCCTGCTGTGATTTTGGTACCGCTTCAATACTTCATGTTTGGAATTGGTGAGTATTTATGTATTCATTCGCTAGCTGAAGAACATACTGATAGAAAAACTGAGTCTTCTCCCCCTGCCCCCCCTGTCCTACATACTATTTCCATTTTTATAAATAGGTGCTACAATAGCGCTCTGGATTCCTGGACTTCCTGGTATTTCAAAACAAAACATTTAACCTGTGTTTTGTTTGGCCACATTCCTTCAGGGAAGAAGTATAAGTTACCTGCTTGAAAAATGAGATTTAGAGTAGGACATCTGAGTGATTCCTGCTCTTCCTTCCTGGGTCGTGGAACTGGGATGAGTAACTCACTCTTAGAATGCATGTTCATTTTTTTCTACTTGTGGTTCATTTATAGTTTTGCTTACATATACATACGGGTTTTTATGCGTGTGTGTATACTTACACAAACCCTGAGTGACTTGCAGCGACTCGTGAGTTTTGTTAACACACTAGTTGAGGGAGCTTGGGATTTAGGAGAATCTGATTGCCAGCTTTATGTGAATGATCTACTTTTTGTGCCTCTGTAGTTAAAACTGTAAAAATGTGTAATTTTGCTTTTCTCTTTGTCTTTCCCAGTTTTTGACACTCTACCGCAAGTAACATTAGCCCTGATAGGCTTGCAAGTTCTTGGTTACGTAATTGCTGTGGTCGGTTTTGCACTGTGCGTCTCAGGTAAGCAATCTGTCTTTGGTAAAAGCGTCATTTTTCTTTCATCTGTACCTGACGTTTCTTTTATCTGTAACACTAAAATACTCTGAAAATGGCTTCACTACATAGAGTGTTAGCAACTTCAGTAAATGTACTTTAGGACTGCAGTGCTAATGCTCTTTTATCCAGTGGAAGGATAGCCCAAAGGTGGTGTTACATATATCGGGTTCATTAGTAGAACTATATCCAGCATGCCTGCGTTCTGTGAGCAGTTCCTTTAAAATAAAAAGGTTTATTGTCTTCATTTTGCAACAGTTAGTGCCCTAAAGAGTCGCCTAAACCCGGCGTTGACCTTTATTACTGCTATTGTTATCAAGGCCTAGGGTATTGAGAAACTAGGGTCATGATAATTTTCTCATGTTCAGTGAATAAATCAGAAATTCCTTGTTAAATAACTGAGTCACTGAGAACCAGTACCATTGAAACAGCTGAAGAAAGCCAATGCAGAGCCAGTAACCTTGGAAGCGTTCTTGGACTGTTTCAAGTCTGGCTGTGGCTGACATTCTGTTTCAGGACTGGAAAACAGTCCCTGTCATAAAGGAACATCAGCTAAACACCAAACACGGTGATACCACTTTTCCCTGCCTCTAAGCCACCTGTAGTTGCTTGCCTGCCTTCCCCTCTGGCCACCAGAAATCCCAACAGCAGAGAAAAGGATGAATTTGGGACTAGGCATCCTTGGCAGTGTATTTAGTAGTAGACTACATACCTGTGTTCATTGGAAGCACTTTATACCCCGGATTTGTGGTTTTGTAGAAACATTCTTCATTTTAATCATTCATTTGGTTGGAGATTTAAGAAAAGCTACTTCTCCTTAAGGTGGTTTCTAAAGGTTTGTCTAATCGGGGTGAAGTGATAGACCTTTCAGTGGAGCTGTGATTTGAGTTTTATGCTTATTGTTTAGTATTTACAGAATTATTTGTAAGTTGACAACCTGCGTGTTGTCAACTGTAACAGTAAAATAAACTGCTGTGAGATTTCTGGTAAAGCATTAATCCTTTAGAGTAATACAGAATGGAGGGAGTGTTGGTTTATTCTGCTGTCAGATGGAAAGTCCCTGGTTTTTCAGAGTGACCTTCTCACAGATCATGTCAGGCAGGTGTTATTGTGTCTCTGGAAGTGTAGCTCAGTGACACTTACGTGTCAGCAGAAATAGCTCATTGTAGGTTGAGCTCACAGATGGTTGCAGTGACTTCAGGCCCCTGGAAACAAGGATCAGAGAACAAGGAGTTTCTGTCGTGAACAATGGTTAGGTTCTAATAGCCTCTTCCTGCTTGTGATAGGCCCATAAACATGGAGCTTCCTGTTACCTGCGGTAGATTTGCCTCAGAACTGCCCCCATGTTCTGCCCTTTCTCCCCTTTTGTACCCTGTTTGATCAGTAACAGCACTGTATTCTGTAGTCTAAGGACGTTGCAGTTCAGAACATTGGGGATTGAAGAAGGAAGTTTTAAGTGTAAAGTACAGATGATAGAAGAATGTGGGCAGTTGCAGTGAGTGACAGAATAGCTAAGCTGGAGTAGAGCAGTACGGCCAAGCAGGACTGAAATGCCTCTGAGCCATTTGTGTACACAGAAAAAGGAACATACAGAAGTAGTTCTGGGATGGCTTTGAAAGAGAAATTAATCACATCTGGTTTTGTCAGGCTTATTAATTCTAGTATTCAGTTATATTTTAAAAAATTGTGGTTTTACTTGTGTCAGATGATACAGTTTCTTGTATTGTGTTTTCAACAGCCTGTCCTCCGCTACATGGGTCTGTTCTGATTGCTGGCTTAGCTATTATGGCCATTTCAAATTTGCTTAGTCTGGTTTACGTGTTTATTATGGGTAAGTAGCACCTAATAGTTTGCCATATATGTATATATACATATATTAGCACTTAAAACCCTGCTCTTCTGAATATTTTTCTATTGTACTTTTGAGTGTTAGACATTTGAACATAAGGTGTGATTTCACAATTACGCATTTTATAAAAATGACTGAAAAATTGTATGTATTGGCTTGGTTTCATAGAGACTGTGGGGAATCTTCAGTAAAGAAATGTACAGCTTATCATAAACTCTCTTGAGAACAACACGGGTTTCTTCAGTGAGAGTGTTTCCACTGTAGGACAGATGTTGCTGTTTAAGCTCTGTATTTGCACAGTTGTCTTGCTGAAGCTTAGAACGAGGAGAGCAAAAGGATTTTGAGGATTCTATAGAGTGAGTTTTGGGAGGGTGCAGACAAAAGCTTATCGGAATATGAATTTAAAGAAGCAAAATCTGCCTAGCGATTTTTCACAGAGCTGCTTGACTGCACATCTTTCATTCTGGTGAATCCTATTTTTTTTTTTTTCTTACATCTAACTTTAAAAGCCAGGAGCAAAGAACAGCAATACTTTGTTTCAGAAACTTGTCTGTTCACCAGATCTCAAAAGACGAGAGATTTAAAGGTATGAAAGCCAGTCAGGCCTGCTAAATAAACAAAAAAACCACAGCAGTGCTGTGTGATTGGACTGTGGTGCAGACATTTCTAAGCTGGCACATCCCAGCATGACAATAGGTGCACTTTGCAGCTTGGGTGTGAGAAGGGGGTGACTTTGTTTCTAGCTGTGCATGAAGGCTCTTCAGACAGCGTGTTAGTTTGGAGCAGAACCGTGCAGTTGAGAATATATTGCTTCCAGATCGAAGCTGATGCATGTACAGTCAGCGCAGTCCCTAGTCTGCACCGAGCCGCGCGGTCTCCCAGGTTTAGGATGTGCACACCATGTCTGGGCATGGTCAGAAGATAAACCCTGAGACAGGGAGGAGGATTTCTAGTAAAGAAGGAATGAGGTGGTGAGGCACTGGAACAGGTTGCCCAGAGAAGCTGTGGATGCCCCATCCCTGGAAGTGTTCAAGGCCAGGCTGGATGAGGCTTTGAGCAACCTGGTCTAGTGGAAGGTGTCCCTGCCCATGGCAGGGGGGTTGGAACTAGATGATCTTTAAGGTCCCTTCCAACCCTAACCATTCTATGATTCCATGATTCTATAAGGCAGAATGCCTAGTATTTGGTATGTGAGAGTGTTGAAGATGAGTCAGAAATGTGATAGAGGTGAAGCAACCCTTTTAACAAGGATAAAAATACCTTTTATTGACTTTGGACTACTGGCATGTAAGACTTTGCTGTGTGCTAATCATCTGCATAAATACTGCATTTGTAATTTGATTATGCTGACTGAAGAAGTCAGATGTGACTGTTGGGGTAGGTTCCACCACACCAAAGTACGCACAAAGAAGAGTGTGTAGCATAATTCATTTTTAGAGCTGAATGCATAAGTGAGACAGTTCAGACTGTACGTGATAAGAGTATTCGGTGCCTAAACAGGGGAGTGCTTAGAGGCCTTAAGAATTTGCAGATCATTGTATTGAGTAATCTTGGATAGGGGAAGCTTCAATTTTGTGTGCTCCTGCTCTGTTCCAAGTTTTATCAGTAGACATGTTTATTTGGTTGATCGTGACATTTATTCATCTGCCAAGTCACTGTTTTTGTAATCCTTTTAGGTTCCAGAATGAAAGATCATCCTCGTCCAGGGGTAAGCTTAAAATTAATAAATTTGGGGTGACTAGATGGCTCAGGGGATTGTAGTGAGATACTGAACCTTTCTTCACTAGCTCGAATTCAGACCAGGTTGGTAGCAAGCACAAGTTCTGGCTGTGTAACAGATGTCTAATGTTGAGTGAGTTGGTGGTCTTCATTGTCCCCATTGAGTGTGTCTATAGTACTGTAATTACCACCCCTGCCTACCAGCTGCTCCGACTGTTGTGCCCAAGCGGAGTTTCAGGGGCTGTCACACGAAGGTGGGGGGTGTCAAGGGAAGTTTGGTGTTTTACAGTGTGGTTTTTCACACCCATTTATGCTTTTGCTCACCCAGATGTGTGCAGAATGCTGTGGGATCTTTGTATCTAGGTGGCTTGTAACAAAGACTGAGGGCTTTTTTCCCCCCTTGGTCTGTAACACCAGAACCTGCAATATTCTCTTGAATTCCCAGCTGCATGGGTGCTATGGCCTTGATCTTTTTTTTTCTTATTTTCCTGTAATGCCCCTTAATTTGATGAGATCGTCTGAAATCGGAGTGTCTGTCTTTAGGTCACACAGAACAAATGGAAAAGCACTTGTGTTTTTTTTTTTAAAAGGTTTTTCAGTCAGGTTTTCTTTACTTCTAGAGTAATCATTCTGAAAGCAGTAACTTTCACAGACTCAGGCAGTGCTTTCTAGTGATCCGTGAATGGGGACTGCCTGATTTCTGGAGTTTTGTGGGAGCAAGTGAAGAGGCACAGCTATAAAACACCAGTAAAGTTTCCCTGTGGCAGGAGAGCATGGCAGACCAAGTCATCCCATTTCTTGGCTGTCAGCCGACATCTGGGACACGTTTCCAGGTCTCCCCTTCAGCCTACAGCCTGAGACTGGGCTGCTAACAGCGGGGCAGGAGAGCTGACAGCACTCAGGATGACTGGGTTGGGATTTTTTTTCCTTGGCTTTCTCTCATTTTACTTTCATTTTAAGGAATAGTTGTTCAGAGGGTTGGTCCCGTGGACCACTTACGGAAGGAATGAGTGCACGGAGTTTAAGATAAAGAGGAGTTCACAAAGTTCATTCATCATGTTCTAAAAATGAGCTGGGCAGAGTGTTACAGATACGCGTCTTCAAAACGCAGTCTTGCCTCTGTCTAACTTGCTCGTGCTCACTTGCAGAACAGACGCAAACAGGCAAGAGATTGTTTATTTATTTATTTAAAACTTCGGTTTTGGCTGTAAATAAGCCTTGAAATGGAAACCAACATGGCTAAATTAACATCCCGTGTGGAATTCCGTTCTCTGTGAGCCGCTCTGCTCACGAGGTGGTTCCGCGCTGCAGCGAGGATCTGACAGATAAACAGCCAGAGCGCCGTGTTGGTGAGCACCGTGGCACTCGGAACTGCAGGCACAACTGAAGTCCACAGAAATATTTAAAGCTTAGAGGCCGCTGGAAATCTCAGCCACTCAAACCAGGGTTTTTTACAGCTGAAGTCAGTGGGAGGTCAGATACAGGGGAATTCGAGTGACAGTAATTTGTGCCCATGAACTTACGGAAGTTACGGAAAGACCTAGCGGGAAATCCAAGCGTTGCTCGTTCCCATCGAGGGCTCTTCGGCGTGAGTTGCTGCACTGTGAGGCACTAATTAGGTGTGAAGTCATTCTGAAAATACAGTTTGATTCTGTGTGATCTAAACACTGTGGAAAAATTAACATTGGTGAAGTGCTTAACGCTGACGCTGAGGCACACTTACAGAAGGATGGTTGATATTTTCTCGAGTCTGTGAGGGGAAAGGTGCGTATTTCGAAGTCTGCCATCCTAACCAATTACTGATACTTATTTGTTTTTATCATCTGAATGTGTTGTTTCTGATGGTTGTCTACTAGACTGAATGCACAGCTGTGGTGCATTTCCTTTTGTAAGGAGATGACACTTGGCTGCTTGGCTACTGTTGTTTTGTTTTTTTAGTCACGGTGCTTTATTCCTTACCATGGATCAAATAGCAAATAATCAGGTTTTAGAGCTTAAAAGTAATATCTGCATGCCTTTTGCTGCCACCTAGAGGTGTTTTTTCGGGGGAAAAACTTACAATGGGGGAAAAATAATCTGGAGAATGCGGTTACTGATTGACTGAACTTCTTTTTTCAAAACTCCAGTCATTAATTTTATTAACATTCAGCTTTCTTCATTTTTGTAGAATCACTACTTACTGTATATGTCAATTAGAGTAATTTAACTGTGGCGAGCCAAAAGTAAACATGAAGGCTTTTTATACATATATATATTTTTAAATGTTTTGCAGAAAGCTGTAGAAGAACCACTAAATGGTAGGTGATATTCAAGGCTTATCTTCTCATTAAGGGATTAATTACGGAGACATGTCCAAAAGATAATCGTAGCTCCAAGTGCAGCGGCACTGAGATGCAGATCGGTATGTCAGCTCATGTGGCTGTGAGCCAGGAGGGGCTTGAGCTCTCTCTGAAGCTACACCTGCAGCTCCAGACCGCCTGTTCTCTGCTTCTGCGCTTGCCAGCCAGTGGCATTGTGTAACCGTTGTAGGGCAAATCTGGTGCCTCTCGAGCCTATATCCACCCTCTTGGCCTTGCAAAAAGTCCAACCTTAAAGAGGAAAAGAGGGGGCAGGTCTTGAAAGCTGATGTTAATTCTTGCTCCTGAGCATTTATCTTGGTGAAATACTTATGATTTTAGCAAAATCTATCCTTGTCGCTCTTACTCTTTTAATATTTCTTTGGGTTGGAGTAGCTGCCATGGTGTTGGGCTGCTCTGATAGCGCTTAAGATGGGGGTAATTTGCTGTGAGAAAGGGATGACTCTGAATTCATTCTTTTAACTTTTTTTTTTTGCTATTCTGTTCACTAATTGGCATGCTGAGTAGTAGCAAGTTCTAACTCAAACTTTAGAATTAACCTGAATATTAATTATGAATCATTTCTTGCTGTTTGACTCATTACTAATCCATTTGCTTGGCTTTTAAAGATGCAAAAGGAGTGATGTTAGAATGATGGTAAGTCCAAATATATCTCCAGGTATTTTAATTAATGTGTTTTTGGGGATTTTGATGTTTGGAGTTACTTAGTGCTAATATGATGAAACTTGGAAGACGGGCTTCTGTGCAGGTGCTGTTCTTCCTCAAATGATGTATGATTGAGAAGAAAGCATATTTTCTGTATGGTGCATGGGGTAGGACTGTGTATTTCTGAAAGTGAGGAGGATAAGTCAGTGAGGAAATATTAAATAGTACAGTTCTGATCAAATGTGGAGGTCAATTAGTTTGTGTGCCTCCTTTATAATAATACAGCATTTAAGATGCAAGGACTGTTTCCTTGGTGGTGGGTTGTTGTATTTGTTTCTTGGGTGGTTCTTTTTTGTTGTTAATGTAAGTAATCCTTCTTTACGTATTTAATTGGTGAACTCCCATGGGAGTTCACAGGAAAGGGGTTTAAAAGTAGGCTTTCTCTCCCCCTCTACCTCTTTAGATGTTATTTAAATTCTCTGGGTTTTGTTAGATTGGTCAGATTCCAATCAGATTTCACTCAATTTACTCTATTTCAGGGTCATTTAGTAGTGTTTAAAAACAAACAACCGAAACACATCTTAATTTTTATCAAGAACTGCTTGAATAACTTCAGCCTGTTTTTGACAAACCTGAATTTTGCACTTTAAAGGTGCACTGTGGCCTCTGCCTGTTGGGTTACGCTTGATGGTTTAAAGATCTGCCAGAGAGGGCAAACGGAGACGGTTGTTGCACTGTCCTGGCATAACTTAAGATTTCTTCTGATTTGAAATGCCCTCAATGCTGGGATTAGTCTTTTTTGATTTTATGACTGCTTGTAAGATTGCGACATCAACTACATGTAAATAGACTCCCAATTTACAGTAAGGCACGAAACGTAGTAACTTGGCCCAAAAGTCTGAAACTGGTTCCCAAAGTGGGTAGCCGAGTTTGCAAAGATTCTTGGTTCCTGCAGCTCATATCCATCAGAAGAGTAACAGTTTGCCTGGCCAGATTATAGAGATCTTAAAATCTAAGCTCTCATTGAAAAACTTAAAATTTAGATTAGATGCTCAGGTTTGAAAATGAAAAGTCTTTCACTGATACTTTTCTGTTCAGAAGCTGTGCTTCCTTTTCATGGGAGTAGGATAAAAGAGCACTTGTTGATGCTATTGGTACTTCTGTTTTTTTTCCTGGAAGCTGAGTGAGCTTCCAGGAAATATGAGGTATCACTAGGGCCTGAGCCTTCCATGAGGTATCACTAGGGCCTGAGCCTGGTACACCTGCATCAAATGACATTTTACTAGTCAGGATAAAGAGTAAGGTCACTCCAAATCTCTTAATTGACTTGAAATATTTTTATATCGTGCAACTTCTAGAAGGCATGAGTTGACATAGTGACAGTAAATGGGATACTGAAACTGAATTAGGTTGGACATCAGGAAGGAATTCTTCATGGAGAGGGTGGTGAGGCACTGGCACAGGTTGCCCAGAGAAGCTGTGGATGCCCCATCCCTGGAAGTGTTCAAGGCCAGGCTGGATGAGGCTTTGAGCAACCTGGTCTAGTGGAAGGCGTCCCTGCCCATGGCAGGGGGGTTGGAACTAGATGCTCTTTAAGGTCCCTTCCAACCCTAACCATTCTGTGATTTGATGATTCTTTTCCAATATTTGAGTGCTGAGTGTGCTTTCAAAGTCTGAAATAAAAAGAAGACTTTTTAAAGCTGGAACTTGAGTAGGCAGCACAGAATGTCGCTGCTCTTCCCAAACAATATCTGTTTGTTTTAATTCCCAGAGCTGCCAAGCAATGTGATACGTGAAAAGTACACCGTTCTTGATACACCGTGGCCTTGAAGATGCACTACTCAAAGAGAAGAAATTCAGGAAACTAGTTGTTTTGCATGTGTGGCAAAAGTGCTTTTTGATATAAAATGATGTAATTTTATAGTCACAGCAGCTGTAGCGAGGAACGTGTGTGTTTGCCCACACGTGATCTTTCTTTTATTTTGTTCTGGTGTATTTGGTATGGTTGAAGGTGAGAACATGAAAAGCACTGTTTGCCCACTCAGGGGTCTCCCTGCAGTAATCCTTAGTGGTATTATTTTCAAAAGCTGTCACTAGAAACGGCTTTGGTAACGGGCCTGCTCAGCCCAAAGACTGCAGTACCATTTAGACTATTGTTTTCTGTATTTGTGTGCATGGGCAAGGTATGGCCGTGTGTCTACCATACAGGCAGGAAGTAGAGATTGTACAAATACATCTTCCCTGACATTCAGCAAGATTTCTATTAAAAAAGAAATAAAATGCTTCTACACAAAGTTGCATAAGTACAGAGTTTACTCCTGGGTCTCCTTTTTCCACGGGACAGTGGTATTCCTCTCTATGGACAGTAGTTGTGGACACTCTGGTGGCTGGTACTTTAGTCCAGTGAGAGAGTTCTCCGTGCCTCTTCTGTCGTCTTTGATAAGAAACTGCTCAGCTGTTTGAGCCTAATTCAGCACTGGAATTATGGAGCACAGCAGCTAGTACTTTCCATGCGGAACGTGGCTCTCGTGTGTGTTCATGTTTTGTGGTGTGTGGTACCAGAAGCAATTCCAGGCTTTCTTAACTCGGTGGATTTGTAAAAGTCATTTGATGCTTCATAAAACCAGGAATTGTCCTATTTAGCATATTTGATGGAGTTTTAAAATCTGTTTTCCCGAATGGAAAAAGGAGCCATTTCATTTCTGACCCAAGTTTGTGACGGTGCCGTTGTATCACAAGTACCTGCAGCAGAGAGCGTGTAGGAGGAGCTGATGAGAAGTGAGGGGGCTCGCTTGATGTATATACGTAAGCAGTACAGGTGAAAATCAGTTTCCTAGGACTTGACATTCCATGAGATTTTACCACGTTTTACAGCTGTTCTGAGAGTTCTTCCAATATAGTTGGCTTCTCCTGGACCTTATGTGTACTTTGCAGAAGGCTTTGTGCCGTCTCCTATTCATACAGAGGTAATGAATTTCAAAGGCACGCACGGTTTTCTCCTCACAGTTTAAGACTTTGCTTGGAAAGCTGTTGCCAAACAGCAGTGTAATAAAGATCCGTGTGCTTAACGAGCCCGAGAAATTCGGCACCTCTCACAGTTCGGTGTTAGAAGCTGAGGTTCGTATCCATGTTGCGGGTGCGAGTTGCAGAGACTCGGGTCCTGGCACGTTGAGGTCCAAGCCGTGATGCAGACACCTGGTATCCAGAATTCAGCACCGTAAAATGGAGGGATCTGATTTTACGGGATTTACTCCGGCGAGCAGCCCTCTTGCTAGGGACGCAGAATTGAACTGCTTAAAGCCACCCGTGGGCCAGCCCTCACTTAAGAAGCACCTGTGGTTTACCCTTACTGCCAGCCTCAGGTCTGTCAGTGGGAGTATTCGTAGAAGGTTTGGGGTCCTGTCTATGAATGTCTTGATAAGAGGTTTTTTCCCATGATGGCAGCAGTCTCCGCCTGAAGATGGGAGGTTACTCTCCATTAACAATTCAGCGTGAGAATTCACCCGATGAAGTATTGCGCAGAGTTCGTAGCCAGGGATTCCCTCTGGCAGGTTGAGCAGTTGAGGAATAAAACCCAAACCAACCAGATTTCTGTTGAGGTATTCTGCCTTACGAAAACCGTTCTGTATAATAGCTTCATGTCAACTTCTGTGAAGCCAACTGCAGTAGAACCCGTTTGTGTCGCCGTGGGCTGAGGCCGAGCTCGTACCAGATGTTGCCGAGAGGCGAGGAGCTCGGCGGCCACGCACGGGCCGCAGGATTGATTGCCCTACACGTGGGAGAAACCCACCATCCTGTTGTTAAGGGCTCTGCTCCGGATTTCTTCCGGGCACAGATTTAAAAGCGAGAGGTTAAAAAGGCATCGATACACCTGGCAGCCCTTTCCCACCAGTAGTTTTAAACCAAAGTTGTTCATAACTGTATGCTTCCACTTGTGTGCGTACGTATGTGTGTACATATAAATATATAGACATTTTAAATAGATGGATCTATAGTCTTTACCCAAGAAAATGTTTTTATTTATGAAACATGAAAATTTTGTAAATATTGTGCTAATATACTTAAAAAATAAAGTCATTTTAAGTTGTTTTTGTGAGAGATTTTCTTACTGCTGTCGTACTGAAGTTGTGTAACAGCTTCTCTAAATCCATCACTGCAGCTGCTCCTCTCCCTGCCTTTGCACCCTCCCTCCCCCCATACTGCTTACTGGATATACAGGAATGGTCTCAGTGCTGCTTGGGTGCTGGAAGTGGTTGTGGTCGGGAGATGGTTGCGAGCTTATTGGTGGCTGCGCGTGCTGAGGTGCTCCAGCGTGACCTCACGCACAGCCACTGATGCTTCAGGGCGTACTTACCCGCAGATGCTTGGAGGTGTGCCTGCTCCAGCAGGGACTGACCCTTGGGACACGGCCCCGTCAGAGGTACCTGCTGCGGCACAGGCGTAGCCACGGCCGCAGACACTGTGGGGTGTCCTGCTCCCACGTGAAATCCTCCACGGGTGACAGTCCCTTCGACTGCAGTTCCAGCCTGTCCAGTACGGTGGCACAGAAACAGCAGCGATGCCCTGGCTACCTGCCAGTCCAGGTGCTGTTACCAGAATGTTCCCAGGTCAGATGATGGGCGGCACAGCCAGCAGCGAGAGCAAAAAGCAGCCACGGACGAGCACTCCGCTCTGATACACAGGCAGGCATGCCCCGTGGCACGCACCAGAGCCTGGCTATTGGTAGTGAAGCAGCAGTATTGGCCATCAGTTGGGTTTAGCATGTTCCAGTGAAACCTGTTGTTATCTTGGAGCCCCACGCTAGACACCAAAAAGAACTGTTGTGGTTGAACTGGCAGCTAAGCACCACGCAACTGCTCACTGCCCCCCAGTGGGATGGGGGAGAGAATCGGAAGGGTAAAAGGGTGAAAACTCATGGGTTGAGATAAAGACAGTTTAGTAGGTAAAGCAAAACAAGGAATTCACTGCTTCCCATCGGCAGGCAGGGGTTCAGCTGTCTCCAGGAAAGCTGGGCTCCAGCATGTGTAACGGTGACTTGGGAAGAAGAATGCCGTCACTCTGAATGTTCCCCCCTTCCTTCTTCCCCCAGCTGTGTATGTTGAGCATGATGATGCCCTGTGGTCTGGAATATCCTTTTGCTCAGCTGGAGTCAGCTGTCCTGGCTGTGTCCCCTCCCAGCTTCTTGTGCACCCCCAGTCTACCAGCCCACTCACTGAGGGGGTGGGGCAAGAGGCAGAAAAGGCCTTGACTCCGTGCAAGCACTGCTCAGCAGTGACTAAAACATCCCTGTGTTACTGACGCTCTTTCCAGCACAAATCCAAAGCACAGCCTTATACCAGCTACTGTGAAAAAAATAAACTCTATCCCAGCCAAAACCAGCACAGAGATCTTGGTGTTTCTCTTTAAAAAGGCCATCCAGTTGCGGAAGTAAGTATGTCCAACCATCAAATGTCACCTGAACATAGTGTGGGAGGAAACAGGAGCTGAGTAAGAAGCTCCTAGTGTAACTTCAGAAGCGCTGCAGAGCACTGCATGCTTCCAGTCAGTCTTTGCAACGCTGACGTGACATTCCTGTGACAAGATAATTCCTTGTGTTC